GGCGCTTAGCAGCAGGCGCCTCAATGAGAAACATTTCTGTACCTCTCAATGCTACTTGACAAATGTCTACCAACTACACCCTACCATGACTCGACCTTTAGAAGTCTTCATAATCCCCCACCTTGGCTACCTTGCATACAGAAAGTTGTCCTCAGAAGGGGGAGTCCTATCAGCGACTGTTTGAGTCTCTAAAAACCTACTCAAGGCTGACAAAATCAAGGCATGGCCCCTATCTGTAAACCAAGATTTCAAATCATCCCTAATAGCCTCTATACAAGACTATCCCGTACTGTGCGATATCGGAACTAAAATCCAGACAATGACTGTCTGCCACCATCTTTCTGAATCTTGAGAATGGCCACTGCTTGTGCGAGTTTCTGAATTCCATAATCTAAGTTCTGAGTCTTGTCACTCGACAATGACTGAATGAGATTCTTGTCTTCTATCTGTTCAACTTTGTTTTAGCAAGATCTTCTTCATAGTCCTGCTATAATGTTCATTTTTGGGGGCAATTTTTTTCGATAAGAATATTATATTAACTATTGAAAGATAAAAGAAAATCACACTTTGGCAGTCAAAGTGCAAATGTTTAGGGGCTATTTGCAACATTCTATTTTGATAACAATTACTTCTTGAAGTTTAATGAAGATGATAAAGGATTGTTAATTATTCAGCATAATGTGAAGTAATCATACTTATCCACGCCTTACCGCACAGAAGATGGTAAATCTAAACAGTCAATCAACAATATAAAACATTTATAGGGCAAGGGTAGCTGCAGATCTGTAGCTCTCCGAAAAAATATATACTGATAGACCGGAGAGCTACAGTGCCACCCATTGAAAAAAACTGTATATTTATTGCGCACAAAAAAGTGTGCTCGATTCGTGAATAATTCTTCCAAATCCTTACCTCAATTGCCTTTGTACGAACACGGATATTGCGAATTTATGGATATAGCGAATCATCTTGGATCCCTAGCTAAATAAATTTAATGAATTTCTTATACGGTTATAACGAATTACGGATATAGCGAAGTAATTTCATAGGTCCCTGTGGCTTCGTTATAACCGAGATTTGCTGTAATGGAAAATTTTCTAAAAATTCCTCTCTCCTCTATCAAGTTCTCTTTGAACGAAGCATATCCGACCGAATTATCTTTGAAACCAAAATGGCAGTATAAATAAGCGAAATGTTCGATGATTGCAATATCAGGGCAAGGAGGATTATTAACAACAATTATTAGGAATGTTTTGTTGTGGAAAGAGTCAATGAATATGTTAGGAACACACGGTTAGTAATATTTTGAGATTACAGTTTTAAAATAGACTCGGTTCCAAGGAACGAAAGCAACAACTTGAAAAGGATAAATCGGAATCCCAAAGGAAGAGGACAGAACAAGTGAAAGATTTATTTTCGCCTTTTCCTTTTGAGGAAGAATGGAGATCCCTGGAGAAAGTGCCGACATACTTTGTTCATTAAAAGTCTTGTGGGTCACGATAATAAGATAACTGACTGTGGGGTAATAGAAGAAACGTGTATTATTCCAGACTTTTAAAAGAATTGTAAAGCTGTGTGGACCTTAAAATTAATGTTTATTGATTTTATTGATTATTCACTATCTTTTTATATTTTGCTATGAATGATATTTTGTTATTTTCAATTATATATTTTTTTATAAATAAAAACATAATTGTGTAAAGGGGGGGGGGGGAGAATGTGGTAGCATCGGTCATTTTTGAACTATTTCCATTACATTATTTATTTTAACTTTAGGTTTACTTACTCCTTTACGTAATTTCTTTATCTACGAATTGAATTTGTTTATTTATGAAACTGGAATAGAGTTATCTTTTATTTTCAAAGCATGCTTACGAAACAAGAGGCCCAGGGGCCACAGCGCTCACCTGAGCACATCAGGCTTGAATTTAACCCCCCCCCCCCTTCCAGGCGTTCATCATTTGAACAAATTAGAATCTACACTACCTGAGGATGATTCCATATAAATATCACTAATCATAGCTTTGAAGTACTTGTAAAGAAGATTTTTAAAGGTTTCCCTATATATCCCTATGTAAAACGTGGGTCGGCCATTTTGGCCCCACCCTAGCCCAGGGGTTCATCATTTGAACAAACTTGAATCTACACTACCTGAAGATGATTCCACATGAGTTTCATCTTTCCTGGCCCAGTGGTTCTGGAGAAGAAGATTATTTAAGATTTTTCCTATATATTCCTATGTAAAACTTGGGTCGGCCATTTTGGCCCCACCTTTGCCCCGGGGGTCATAATTTGAACAAACTTGAATCCACACTACCAGAGGATGATTCCACATGAGTTTCATCTTCCCTGTCATAGTGGTTCTTGAGAAGATTTTTAAAGATTTTTCCTATATATTCCTATGTAAAACTTGGGTCGGCCATTTTGGCCCCACCCTAGCCCCGGGAGTCATGATTTGAACAAACTTAAATCTCCTCTACCTGAGGATGATTCCACATGAGTTTCATCTTTCCTGGCCCAGTGGTTCTGGAGAAGAAGATTTTTTAAGATTTTCCTATACATTCGTATGTAAAACTTGGGTCGGACATTTTGGCCTCACCCTTGCCCCAAGGGTCATGATTTGCACAAACTAGAATCTACACTACCTGAGGATGATTCCAAATGAGTTTCATCTTTCCTGTCCTAGTGGTTGTTGAGAAGAAGATTTTTCTTATATATCCCTATGTAAAACGTGGGTCGGCCATTTTGGCCCCACCCTATCCCCGGGGGTCATCATTTGAACAAACTTGAATCTACACTACCTGAAGATGATTCCACATGAGTTTCATCTTTCCTGGCCCAGTGGTTCTGGAGAAGAAGATTTTTAAAGATTTTTCCTATATATTCCTATGTAAAACTTGGGTCGGCCATTTTGGCCCCACCTTTGCCCCGGGGGTCATGATTTGAACAAACTTGAATCCACACTACCTGAGGATGATTCCACATGAGTTTCATCTTTCCTGTCATAGTGGTTCTTGAGAAGAAGATTTTTAAAGATTTTTCCTATATATTCCTATGTAAAACTTTGGTCGGCCATTTTGGCCCCATCCTAGCCCCGGATGTCATGATTTGAACAAACTTAAATCTCCTCTACCTGAGGTTGCTTCCACATGAGTTTCATCTTTCCTGGCCCAGCGTTTCTGGAGGAGTAGATTTTTTAAAAATGCCATTAATTTTTAACAAATTCATGATTATCTCCCCTTGGAAAAGGGCGTGGCCCTTCATTTGAACAAACTTGAATCCCCTTCACCTCACCCAAGGATACTTTGTGCCAAGTTTGGTTGAAATTGGCCAAGTGGTTCTTGAGAAGAAGATGAAAATGTTAAAAGTTTACGACAACGACGACAACAACGACAGACGACGGACAAATTTTGATCAGAAAAGCTCACTTGAGCCTTCGGCTCAGGTGAGCAAAAAATGCAATCCTACTATATATACATATTTTATACATGTAGCACCAAAGTGATCAACCATACATGTACAATTGAAAAATGCATAACGCAACTGAATATTAACAGTTCATGTTATATTAATAGTTCATGTCCAAGAATGTTGTAATGTATAACGGAATGTCCAACGTGACCGACAGGATTGCACGCCTCTCCAGAACCACACATAGGATATATAGCAAAATATGAAAAAGTTGTTTAAGACATTAGACATATGCACACATAATCGCTCGCATCGCTGTGGCACCTCACAGGTATCAAAAACATTTAAAACAATGCGAGTTATTACAACCTGCATTTGCACTAGCTCCGGCCATGTTGAATCCAAGAGGTATATAACTAGTCCGGTCTTGGCGGAAATGAAATATCCGGAAAGTGTGACAGCACAATGTCACTCAAAACTATAAATTTGCGTGTTTAAAACTTAAAACTATGAATTCAGTTGATAAATAGATTAAAAATTAAAACTCACTGGTCAAGAAGAAAACGTGCTGTTTCTGTATTGGATTTGGACAGAAGAGTTTAGCGGAGCTCGTTTTAAGGCGATCTATTTCTTCGCCTTTATAAACACGCGTCTTGTTTATGTTCGACAAGACAACTTCGCGTCGCCTTTTCTTTTTAGAATCGCATAAAATGCCCTCCTTCCATTACTTTTCTTGCGGACAGCCTCCATTGTGCGAAGCGAACCTCGGGACATATTGAGGTCACACGCGAGGTCACTGAATAGGGCGGAGTTTCAAGCATTTCGTGTACAGGACGACAAAAATTTTTTTGAACCTTTTTTCGGCATGCATTCTCAAAATTTACAGACCAAACCTAATGTTTAAATATTCATTTTACTTCTAAAGACATTATGACACCCACGATAAAAGTTCTTTTTAAAAATATTTTCTATGTGGAATCCCGATGATCCGAAATTTCATGCCTCACAAGTTGGGTATTTTGAAAAAGTTTATTTAAAGACGTATTCACATAAACATTATGAAAACATTGTACAAAAATATTAAATATATCAGCAGAGTGACTTTAGGGACTTTATTAAATTAAATTGATTCATATGAATTTTTATTAAAAAATTCAAGCAAGGAAATGATTTTTTTAATCCATAAATTGTGCAATTATTTTTAAGTGAGTGTTGTTCACACATGTTATGAACAGAATCCCGAAATTAAATACTATTTGACACAAGGTGAGAGAGCAGTTCATGTATGTTGATGGTGAACACACACGGACCGAGGCATCATTTATGGTAATAGGTAAAAAGGGGGAGAGGGTGTTGACCGCACAGGAAGGCCATGTGCTGATTAAACACACGTGTCAGTTTTCTGGCAAGGAAAGCTCTTTGATTTGACACTCAGATGCCTTAATAAAATTAATGAAAAACTTTTTTATATTAACTGTTTTGGCGTGATACATTGGGTAGAGCATTTTCATGCATCATACTTTAAAATTTTGATTTTTGACATATCAAGGATTATAGCTAATTAAATAGGGATAAAAATGATTTTAAAAATGGAGCGTTTACAGACAAAATCGGTGTTTTTATCTTGTCAGATCAATGTCTTAATCGATGAATTAAAAAATAACCAGGGGATCGATTTAATTCATTCCGAAACAGAGTTCAAAAACCAGAAGAGCTTATGCGATAGTAATGCGTCCGTCGTCCAAGGCACTGACAAGGAACTGGCAATGTGTTCACTCTGTAAGGCATTTATCAGCAAGAAACTCATGTACAAACATGTCAGAAATTGTAAAGTTGCAGAGGAGACTACCTCTCCTCCTACTAGGGTAGTATTGAAGGTACTTCAAGAACAAAATTATCCACAGGATTATATTCAATTTTTGGAAACATTTCATAGAGATAAGCCTGGAGATATTATAAGAAATGATGAATTCCTCAAAGAATATGGACATGTTGAGTTCCAAAACTGGAAGGGCTCAGCTATCAAAGCAACAGAAAAGCTGAATACCTTAAGATCCAAATTAAGAAGATTAGCCAGGCTTTTCATTAATTTCAAAAGTATGGCTTCAGAACGCGGAATAGAAATAAAGAGTTGTGATGAAATGTTTAAAATTGATACTGCTACATTGTTTTCTGCTGCTGTGCAGAAAATGACAAATTTTGACTCTGAAGAAGAAGACTTCAAATGTGGATTGAATGTGGGATTAAAATCGTTGATAATTGAAGTATGTGACACATTGTATGCTACATATTTGATAAAGAGAAAAGAACTTTTGGCGAAAGAAGTGAAAGAGTTTCAGGAAGTTTTGAAAATGTATTGGAGATATTTTTTCATCACAGCTAGAGAGATTCTGATGAAAAAGATGCACAGCCAGTCCAGAGCTCCTACACGCCTTCCTACTATTGAAGAATACCAGCAATTGCGAGACTTTACAAAGGAAGAAATTGCAAAAATGGTAGATGATATTTATACACCAGTAAATCAGGGGATATTCTGTAAACTAAGGAATTTGATATCCTGTAGACGTACATTATTTAATGCAAGGAGAGGAGGAGAAGCGACAAGGTTAACAATATCAGAGTTAGAAGATGCGTTTAGTCATAAATGGGCAGACAAAACATTTTTCAAGAAAATTGATGAAGACATAGAAAAATTAATGTGCAAAATAGTCTGTGCTTATCTTCATTCATCCAAAAAATTAGAACTTGTATCAGTAATAATACCAGATGACTGCTGGAAAGGACTGGAAATGCTTAAGGATGTTGAAAACAGAAAGCTGGCAGGTGTCCATCCCAAAAACAAATTTATTTTTGCCAATACCGAAAACTCGTTAGGTCATGTCAATGGTTGGCAAAGTGTTCATAACATCTGTAAAAACGCTGAAATGAAAAAAAATATTACTGCCACTGATATGAGACATTACGTGGCTACATATTATGAATCCCTAGATGTATCACCTGAAGAACGGGACTTTTTTTATAAGGAAACACTTGGGCCATTCAAAATTTATAAATGGAAATATTTATCAGTGCCCACCAGCTGTAAGATTAATGGAAACTGCTGGGAAAATCCTGTTAACATTGGATTCTCATGAAGGTGTGGATTCTTTTTATAAAATATTGTGATAAGTAGTTATCATATAATGGGGGGTAATAATATCATCTTTAGTACATCAAAGCCATGATTCAACATATAAATATAGAAGCAACCTGAGGTACTGTGATTCAAGTTGGTTCAAATTAGCCCCTATAGACATAGAACAGAGCTGCAATCGGCAAAGTTTTACAAAGGGTTTTATAGGTAAAAATCTTAAAAAACTTCTCTTCCCAAGAACAAGAAAGTTATGATGAATCATTTTGTTATTGTGGAAGCATCCTCAGGTGCTGTAGATTCAAGTTTGTTGAAATCTTAAACTCCAGATGTAGGTAGTGGCAACAAGATTATAATTATAATGTGATTTAAAAAAGTAGATATAATGTGATTTAAAAAAGTAGCAGGCTGAAGGTGACTTATAGAGAGCCATCAGGCCAATTGCTTGTATTCTTTATCAGTTCTTATTTTGCGCCACAGCTCACCATGTCATCTTTTATATAGTGTCTAATTTAAATGTCTCCGCCCATGTGCATGTAATAAAGAAAACGCACTCTGTTCAAATGAAAATGTCTGGAATTTGTATGTGTGGTAAGTGATGAAAATTGGCTTATATTTCTTAATACTCAAAGTCATTAATATTGATTTAACAACATCTCAATTAGAAATACTATGTTATGCACAATGAAAATAAAAATAATGCCATATATCCTCAAGTATATTCTGTGAAATAAGGGCGGAAAAAGGGACCAAGCTACTATACTTAAGTGGAACCACTTTATAAATTAAATTAAAATCTGTCATAGGCAAAAACACAGATGAAAACACTGAACTGGAATCAAATAAGGTGGATGGTGAATTAGACAGTGAAAGAGAAAACTTTTTGGAGGAAAAAGGTAAAAAAAAAAATTCATTTGCAATGTGTTCATCACATCATGATTATTACCCTTTGAAATGATTAATCAATATGTATTTTTAGCTCATAAGTGAGTTTTTCTGATCACATTTTGTCCCTTGTCCATTTGTCTGTAAAAGATTTTTTTTTACCAAAATAAGTTTTTAAGGCATTTTTTGCATTGATCTTTATTCATTAAAAATTGTATTCCATATTTTTTTTTAAATTTTTTTATTGATAAATAATATTGATATTTATTTTATCATTAATGTATTTGATTATTTATTTATTTCAACTTTTCACATTTCCCACTTCTTCTCAAGAACCACCGGGCCAATTTTGACAAAATTTTGTACAAAGCATACTGGGTGAAGGGGAATGAAAATTATTTAAAAAATGAAGGGGCAGGTCCCCACATAAGGGGAGATAATAAAAAAAAAATAAGGTGGGTTCTTTAAAAAATCTTCTTTTTCAAGAACCACTGGGCCAGAAAAGCTGAAACTTATATGGAAGCAACCAGGGATAGTGTCAATTCTAAATTGTTCAAATCATGACCCCCGGGGGTTGGGCAGGGCCACAATGGGAAATCCAAGTTTTCCATAGAAATATATAGGAAAAATCTTTAAAAATCTTCTTCTCAAGAACCACTGGACCAGAAAAGCTGAAAATTATGTGAAAGCATCCTGGGGTAGTGTAGATTCTAAATTGTTCAATCATGACCCCTTGGGATAGGGTGGGGCCACAATAGGGAATCCAATTTTTATATTGAAATATATAGGAAAAATCGTCTCAAGGACCACTTTTTGAAGAAAAAAATATCTAAAGTACATCAAAGCCATGATTTAACATATAAATATAGAAGCAACCTAAGGTACTAGCTGTGATTCAAGTTGGTTCAAATTAGCCCCTATAGACATAGAACAGAGCTGCAATCGGCAGTTTTACAAAGGGTTTTATAGGAAAAAATCTTTAAAACTTCTCTTCCCAAGAACAAGAAAGTTATGATGAATCATTATGTAATTGTGAAATCTTAAACTCCAGATGTAGGTAGTGGCAAGAAGATTATAATTATAATGTGATTTAAAAAAGTAGTTATAATGTGATTTAAAAAAGTAGCAGGCTGAAGGTGACTTATGGACTTTTACGAAAAGACTGACTTTTACAGTTGACTGTTTACTTGGACATTTAAACATTCACATCTACGGAGGTACAGAATTGATAATGGAAAAGGAAATATTACTAGTGGTCCTGGTAATGGTGTTAGGGGAACTTGTAAGAGAAGGACTGGATTTGAGGGTAGGATGGTTGTCGTTTTCTTCAAGGACATCTTAAACTGTACTTTGAATTAGCCCTTTATTTTCCACTACTGAATTAAATATCCCCTTAGATTCCAAAAAATCCCCTGTTGTCCCCCCTGTCAGTCCCTGACATTTTCCTGTCTCTCCCTGACTTTCTCCTATGATCCACTGCTCTCCCTGTCCAGTCCCTGTCGTTGTCCCTGCCTTCCCTGTCTACTCCCTGTCGTCCCCTGACATTCTCTGATCTCCCTGACCAGTCCCTGTCGTTATGCTTAAAACTTTAGAAAACATATACCTCCGAGATTTTTTTGGCTCAGTCTGTATTTGTGGGTAACGAACCCGATGATATTGCGAAGTAAATATTTTCCCACAAATAAATTATACACAGTCAATAGTTAAAATTTTCAAAATTGTACTGAAAAGTTGCTTACCACAAAGTATGTCCAGAGGTTTGCTTGGGTGAATTCGCACGGCGCTCGGATCGCCTATTATGGTCACCTTCTGGAGGTGACACGCCGTCACGTAAACGTCTCTCACCTCATCCGAACGAACTTCTATTTCTCTGCAGGGGAGAGTGCATCTCCTTATTGGTATGGAACACGTTAAACATACCGCGGAAAGGCAGATAAAACCTATGCACATAACTTTGGCCATGTTTGATTTCATCATCTGGGGTTCACAATCTCCAAATTAGTGTCATGAGGGTTGACCAATAAAAATCACGGTTTTATCACCCCTTTACCATAACTTTGAGCCCTTTTTCACTTTATCTCATCTGGGGTTCAATCTCCTAATTTGTGGCGTGAGGTTTGACCAATAACAATCACGGTTTTATCATCGTGATGCTGAGGACTAAGTTTGGTAATAATAATACAGCGGTGGATCAAGGTGGTTTTTTTTTTGTAAAGGGAGGGCCCGTGTTCCAGTATTATTATTTTTTGGTTTTCAAAGAGGGTGTGGAGGGCATCACTCTCAAAATACTTTATTTTTACCCTGTTTTGGTAAAATTTTCTGTATAAATGTAGACACTAAATCTGTGTTTAATTCATAGCTTTGGACATGTTAAGACAATAATTATAAATACAGTAGTTATAAAACAGTATTTATCTGGTCACATTGTACTTCTGCGCAGGTATGTCGTGACAGAGCGGTGTTTTTGAAGTCAGAATAAAATTACCGGGTTAAATTAAAATGAAACCTAAGTCACATGAACATGATTAATTAGGTTAATTACATATGCATTGTACATGGTGTACCGTCACTTAATTAATGTCACCTCTTAAATTCTAAGGATATTTTATTTTTAACATATCAAATTTAAAGGTTACCAAAATGAAAAACTCATGCAAATTATTTATTACAACCTCCCGGAAAACCCTTTTCCTCCTATCACCACCTCGAGATTTTCCTCTTTGGAGGGTATATAAAGATGTGAAGGACTGCGGTCAATACACTTCAATGACCGAGATTAAAATCAACATGGGTGATGAGTACCTTGCGTTTTCGTAAGTTTTCTTTACTTATGTATAACAATCGTTTTCTGTTTTTAAAAGCAAAATTAGTTCAAAATCTGAATTCCTTCATTTTGTTTTGTTGTAAACGCATTACATGTAGTTTGATGCATAGCAGATATCCGTAGCTTAATATGTGCACAGAAATGCAAAAACCTGTCGTTCTTATAGCCCAAGCGTCCGTAGCTGTCATTCCAATCAAATGTATTTTAAAACAATTTGACTAGTTTTATTAGCTTCGCAGGGTAAAATATTTTGTTTATCTACATTTCATTTAGGGGAAATTTTAACACGTTCAATCGAACGTCTATTCAAAAAAAAAAAAAAATGAGCGCCCATGACGAAAATTTATCGGTTACATTATTGAATTGGTGAATAATGTAAAGTAAAGTTAAGTTAGGACAGAAGTATCAGTTCTATAGGAAAAAAACCATGATTTCAAGGTTTTTTAGAGATTAAAAGAAATAAAAATATAACATTGTTATGATGATAACAGGATAGTTCTTTTTTACATGAAATAAAATAGTTATTTTTATTTTTTTTTATTTTTTTTTTGCTTTGATAATAGTGATGAAACAGATTTTGAGCAGCTATTGGGCAGTTTTGATGAATTTACAGCACAGTAAGTATTTGCTTACCTACTAGTATGTTGTAAGATCTCACAATTTGTGTGTTTAAAACGTTCTTTTTTATACGCTGTTTTCAAATCACTTTTTATCTTCAGTAGAAAAAAAAAGTTAACTTATTGTAATTTTATTATTAACCTTTTATCCTTTATATTTTTTTTATCTGAAAGGTCTTCCTCTACTCTTTTTAAAAAAGAAACACCATCTGAGGCAGCAGGGTCTTCTCTTTTAAAGACTCTATTTACGCAGAATGTAAATGCAAAACCTACATCAAAAGTGGAGACCTTACCCACACCTTCACTCACTAAAAATAATAGCGAGGGAAAAAAAACGAAACATATGACATCAGATCTACCTTTCAAAAGGTTAGGATATCTTTACTCTTTGTTCATATTTCACTTAAAGAGTATCAATGATAAAAATATTTATTATTTGAGGTAATATATCTTTAAATATATATTTAATATTTAGTTACGCAACAACTACAAGTACCTTTAGTGGCTCAACATCGGGACCGGTGTATGATGAAAATCACCCCCTCCTCAACCAGAAAAAGACAGAGTGATTAATGTAGAGGACTCCATTCTTACTACACTTCGGTAAATTATATATATATATATATATAGGGAAAATGTTGTAGAAGTCCATGGTATAGGTTAAGTTATAAATCAAAA